TTGAGCAGGCATATATGTATGCACCCGGTCGTTTATATTGCGCTGCATGGCAAATGAAATAAAGGTCCTGCCGAATTATTTTCCTTCATTGTTTCCGGGAGTCGTGCAGATTCCAACTGTCTCATTTTTTGTGGGCAAGCTGCTTCCATCATTTCTTATTGTGCGGTGACTGTGTGGTGTAGCGGCTGTGACTTGTCTCTGCCTTTTGCTTTCACTCTCCGTTGACGTGTTGTTAGTTTGTGCTGAAGGCTGCACGCAAGTGACAGGAGTGATGGTGATGATGACTGGCCGTGTGCTGCTGGTGTGTGCCCTCTGCGTGCTGTGGTGCGGTGCCGGCGGTGGTGGACGAGCTGAAACAACTCCAGTCGTTCCGGGTAATGCGTCCGACGGGAGCACTCAAAAAGAAGAGGCCGTCGGTGGCGCTGGAGGAGGTGGCCAAAACGATCAATCAGAAGCCTTACAAGCGGCAGAAGGAGTATCGGTGCAAGGCGCAACGGGAACGGTAGTTGCACTACAAACTGGAACACAATTAGCACCAAAAACGGCAGACGCGGAGAAGAAAGGCAAGGATCAAACGCAAGACGTTGAAGATGTTGTTGTTAAAAAGGGTAAAGAGCAGGAACCGAAAGAGGAGGAAGAAGACAATGGGATTGAGCAAGAAGAAGAGGAAAGAGAAGAAGAGGAAGAAGAGGAGAAAAAGCATGAAGACGCTGTTACCGGCACCACAAATGGGACCTCAGCAGGCAGTCAAAAGCAGCCAAGTTTTTCTTCTGGTGCGGAGGGAGCATCGAATAATACAAATCCCAAAAGCACCCAAACAGCTGGAGACGATGATCCAGCAGCCGATGTTTCAGGGACAGCAGAAGGAAAACAAAATGAAAATAAAGAAGCCAATCCGAAGGAAACACCAGTCGAAGCCACAGCCATGAAAACTACAACGGCGACAACTGGCGACAGTGACAGCAGCACCGCGGTCTCCCACACCACCTCCCCTCTTTTGCTTCTTCTTGTTGTTGCGTGTGCGGCTGCTGCTGCGGTGGTGACCGCGTGAGTGTGAGTGTGAGAGAGCCATGCACCGCCCGCACACACACTCTTCCTTCTCTCTCTGTGTGTGTGTCCCCTTGCATGGACTCTCGCCCTCACCTCACCCCACGAGGCACACACATAATGTGCCCATTGTATATATGCATGCACACCCATGCAGGCCCGTTGGTGCTCTCTTTTGCACGACACGCACCGCTGCCGTCCTGCCTGGCTGCATGGGCGGAGCACCGTAACTGTTTCTGTTTTGTTTTTATTGCATTGAGTGGGCGACCTCTCTCTCTCCCTCTGTGTGTGTGTTTTGCTTTACGGGAGCAATGAGAGTGTGTGCGCTGGTCGTCCCACGCTTCGGCTTTTTGTTTTACTTGTGTTGTGGTTGAGTACACCCATTACACTTTTTATTCGATCATTGGCAGTTTGCTTTGACTGCGGACGCCTAATTTCTTGTATTTCATTTGTTTTCCCTTTGAGATATTGTCAGTGTTTGTTATTCTTTTCAAACCATGAAGTATTTTCTGTTACGTACAACATGTTTCAGTTGATCCACGTCGCCTCACGGTCTGCGGTGCTGCTGGTGCTTCTGGTTGTGATGTTTTGTGCCGGCGGGTGCCTTGCTGCCAGCCTGACGTACTCCTGCCCCTCGGACAAGGCGATGCGTGCCCACAGGGCAAAGTCGATCCCGGCTGTGGTGAGGGACGTGCCTTTTGGATCTGAGGGTGCGTCGCAGACATGCACCGTCATTGGGAGGAATGGATGGGCGCCCATCCGCATGAACGTGTCGACAAGGGACCTGGATGATGCCAGGAAGCATTGCAGCTCAGAGCGGTATTGCGCAATGAATTCATTGGTGGCAATTGCGAGTGTGAAGGCGACGTTTTTCTATGCTGAGAAAAGGGAAGTATTTGTTTCATTATACTTTGCAGCCACCGTTCGCTAATGGCCTGCGGGCTGTCCGTAGCGATGTGGCCAGTTTTTCCTTCTTGAACGATGCTGTCGTGCGAAAGGGTGTGTTCCCAAATAGTTGGATGCTCAGTTGTCGAGGACGGGGGCATTCCCACAGCGTGTGCGGCGGGGCTCCCCGTGGATTGTCGGGGGCTCAGCGGCTGGTGGGGATTGCAGCAGAGGAGTGGCTGAAGGGCTACGGCTGTCATTGGAGCCTGCAGAGGTGCGTTGTCCGTTTTTTGCTCGTTGATACGCTTGACATTTTCGGTAGCGACCTGCGCGTGAGGCACCTGTTGGGAAGACCGTGGATCTGTCGCAGAATCCACATGTGAGGCCTTCTGCAACGATTGGAGTTTCAGAGTTAGTGCGTCGGGCGTGTGCCTTCATATTGTGGACGGACGAGAAGACGCTGCTGCAGCTTGGGCAGGGCGACGTTGATCTGCTGCTCGTCGTTCTACGAGGAGGTGCCGTGGACACGCCAGGTGGAGGTTCCGGAGGAGGTCGAGGCGGTCCTGCCTCTTCAGTGTGAGAGGGCGGCACCACCGACATAATGGGTTGCTTGTGATCTGCAGGGCGCGTGCCGGTCAGCCGAGGAGTGGGCAGGAGGACGTCCATCAGCCGCTTGCTGCTCGGCAAGGAGTGGCGGTATTCAAGTCAGGAAGAGGTTACGGCGGAGGCAGAGCACAGACGCGGTCCCAGCAGCACCGCAGCACAGCCGATCCCAGAGGGCAGGGACATAGTGCCTCCATGCCTCGGAGAATCACAGGCCTGGGCTCCACAAGAAAACAAGCTGTTTCGCACGGGCCTCTGGCAGCATGGAGAAAACACCGCGAAGGGCATGATTGCGGTCCTCCCATTTGCGGAGCACTTCAGCACGGGGCAGGCTGCCGCTGCAACACACTCGGCCTGCTCCATTCCGTCCGTCGTGATTCCTGTGGTCTGTCACGGCTGCCACTCGTGCGGTGCCTCAGTGCATTTCCAACCATGTGATTACAGTAGCCAGAGGTGTTTCACACGCCGAGGTGGAAGCATTCCAGTCAGCATCACGCAGGACAAAGACGACATGTTTCCGTCGTGGCAGCATGCCTGCCTGTCGCGGGATGCCGTCCTCCGTCCCTGCAGTGTGGGATGGCAGATGGTGGTCCGAGTCCATGTAAGCGGGTGGACGTCCAGTGGAAAACATGCAGTACGCGTTGCGCATTCAAATTGGGAAGCGAGATGCAGCGGTCGCTAATCCGCGTTGCCTGTGCCGGATCGTCGGACAGCTCAGAGTCCATGCCGCTTGGGGTGGCGGCGAGGTCCTCTCCTGCCGTCGTGGATGGTGAGCAACCGTCCCGGAGCTCATGGTGTGAATTCAGGTCAACCGCAATAGGCGCTGCAGGACCAAGGCGACGAATGATGCTCGCAGAGTGTGAAACGTGGGCAATTACTGAAGGAAGGCTGCAGAGGTTCACCACGCACATGCTGGGGCTGGCCGGTGGGCACACGCGGAGGGCGGTGGTCTCCAGGCAGTTGGTTCCAGCAGAGACAGGCACTCGCACGGAAAGGTATGGCGCACCACGAGGACCACGCCAGCGGCACGCCCACTGCAGGCCTGGTGGAAGTCACTGCAGCCAATGAACCTCGTCGCTGGCACTCTGGTGCCTGCACTCATGCAGAAGAACGATGCCGGGTCGGTGCTGCGCCAGTCAAGCAGCAAGGGCAATCCTGAAGGGAGAACGACCTAAAGTTCTGAGCTGCTAGATAACTACGAGGCCATCCTCATCGGGGTGCGGTCCCTCTCTCCTCATGGCCACGGAAGAAGACAACAGCCGCCACACGCAACTGCCAGCATGCACTACAAAAGGTGCATCCAAATCCACTGCAATGTGCATCGTGTGTGTGGTTGTGTGTGCCTGCAGCAACACAAAGCAAGGAAGTAGAAAAGAGGGAGCAGAGTATGTGGAGGGACGCACAAAAATGTGCAGCGGAGACGCATAACGGAAACAACAACAAGAAGACCGCTCAAACTCATGACTGCACTGCAGCCCAAGCAGCGGCAATTCACACAATATTTATTGAAAACAAAAAACGTCCCCCTTCGTCTTATGTAAACCCCATCACACAAAATAATTATAAATGAAAAGAAATCGTCCATTACTGCTCCACACAAATTTAAAATAATAAAAAGATCGCCTGGCTGCCGTGTGGCCACACCAAACTGTCTGTATGTATTTTGCCCGCAAAAGAAAATTAAAAAGATGGTTGCGTGTGCTTCGACCGTCCGACCCTCCGTGTGTCCGCACATCGTTTATATTTCATGGGGTCATCTGCGTGTTGCTGCTCCCCTCAGCCCTCTCATCGGCGCGTGAGTGCGGCCCGCAGATCACAGTCACTCGTGTGTGTGGGACTGAGAGAAGCACGCAGACATGACGGCAGTCGCGTCACTCCATCGGGGGAGTGAGCGCAGCAAAAGAAAAAGAAATCATCGGAGGGGAGAGAAATGCTCACGAGGCCGACACCGAAGGGTGCGCCACCGCATGAAATAAACACGCAAAGCAAAACAAATCCTTAAAGAAAAACACGGCGGCAGGGTGTGGCTGTGTGTGTGTGGCGCTGCGGGTGTCTGCCAGCCCTGGCCGCAAAGAAAACAAAACAAGAGGGAAGAAATGTGTGCTCCGCCCCACAGGCCCTCGTCGCACGCCCACACGTCACGGCTCCCTCAGCGCGCCGTTCGTCGCGGCCCCTCCTCATGCGTGCAGCAGGCGAGGCGCACAGGGCCGTCGTCATGAGCGTGTCGGTGGGTGTGCGAGTGGAGCAGTTGGGCGGAAACACACGGCACCCCTCGCAGGAAGAGTGAAGCAACAAACAATTAAAGAGGGAAGAGAAGAAATGGGGATATAAAAACGCACAGCAAAAGCAAACAGGGAAAAAGTAAAAGTTATTTGAGAAGATAAATTCATTGCCAGGAGTGTGTGTATCGGTGCTGGGGAGGTCGCAATTGTCCCACGCGGCAGCCAGTCACGCCTCACAGAGCCGCAAACCCCCACAGTCCCAACAGAAGAAGCAGCGGCAGCAGTCCGCTCCCACGCGCAGTGCCGCCATCGCTGTTATTCCCATGCGAAATATTTCCGAGACTGCTGCTGAGTGCCGCAGCATTTACTTCGTCCTCCCTTTTCTGCCCATCCGTCCCTCCCACCGTTTCCCCATTCTCACCAGAGTGCCTCCCCACCTCAGCTGCCACTGCGGTTCCATCTGGCGCCATGGTTTCAGCGGTAGGGGCATTTGTATCTGCTGTGGCGGGAGTGCCCGCTGACGGTTGTTGTGTTCCATCTCCCTGCACCTTGTCTCCAGCTTCGGCATCCACCGTTTGAACTCCCTCGGACGAAGAATCAACATCCACATTCGAATGTCCTTCGGGAGATGTTCCCGACGCTGAGTGGTTTTCGGACTCTTTGGCTGCTGGGGAATTCGTGACACTGGACGCCGCTGACGTGGATAAAACGCCACTCCCCGCATTTTCACTTGTCCTCAACGGATCCTTTTCAGTTTGCTGTTGCCCACCAGGACCAGACGGAGTTTCGGCTTCCGGCGTAGCTTGTTTAATTGCCTCTGGAGGAGGAGTATCCCCATCCACTGTTTTTGTACCTCTTGTTTTTGGAATAGAAGGTTTTGTGGTGAGCCCAGCAATCTCACTGTCGTTCAACGGGCGGTTGTACAGCAGGACGTTCGTCACGGTCACAGACACGTCTTGGACCTCTGAGTCGCCTTTTGCACCTTCATCCCCTCCAATGTAGAAGTGGGAGATCTTGTTATCTTCCGTATTTTTCAAATCACATTCTGCATCTCCCAACACAGGCTGACCATCAACGTACGCGGAGCCTTGGCTGCCGTTCTTTAGTACAATGGCCAATTGGCATGTTTTCCCTGGCTCCAAAGCGCTGCTAAGCTCCTTAAGCGTTCCTCCACCGCAAGACAATTCCCACTTACCTCCGCCGTTGTATGACAGCCCCAGGAGTACAGTCTTCCCGCTGTCATTCAGCTTCACACCAATCAAAGGAATGGGGGTATCTCCCGCTGGCACACCGTAGATAGACACCGTCGCCACAAGAGTGAAGTTGTAGTTCGCAAAGTGATACAGCTGATTCTCCCCTTGACTGCCAACAGGCCACTCCGCCCACGCCCCGTGGAACTTCACACCATCGGAAGTCTTTGTTGCCCCTGTCTCCCTTGTATTCTCTGTCTCCCCACCATCTTTATTTTTTACTGTGGCGTTCACCCCGAGGTACTCGTCCCTCCATGTGTCATTAGAGAAGTTGTCGGACAAAAAGCCAACCAGCCCATCCGTGATCTTAACAGTATTGCAGGCATTTTCAGGTGAGGCACTCTCAGCACTTTTAGAAGGGCACAGCTTGGAGACACGTTCGTCCACTTTCTTCCACGTCGCCAGCACCTCCTTCACAAGCTGCAGCTGCTCAGTCAGAAGCACTGAGACCATACCGGGTGATGGTTTATCATCACCGCCCTTCTTCTTCTCGTACAGTGCAATCAACTCCTCCTCATTATCACCATCTTTACCACTTCTGTACAGCAGGGAGCTGGCGGCAGCGTCATCTTCACCGGATACCGGCCCAATATCAACAATGTGTGTATTGTCCGTCAGCCAAAGATGGAGTTCACCTTTTTCTTTTTTATCAGCCTCCTCGGGATACACCGGCAGAGTGACGAGCATCACATTTCTCTTATCTTCAACACCATCAATCGTCGCTGTGATGAACCCGCTTCTAACGCCACCTTCACCCTTTTTGTTGCCCCACACGCGCGAGAGTGTCCCGAGTGCCTCCGTCCACGACTCCCCCTTGTCACCGGACTCGTACACCCTGCGGCGGCCATCATCACACGCAGTCATCATCATGAGTTTTTTGTCCTCCCACTCCACGACGGAGGGATCACTGCAGCCACCGTCAAGAATCCCGTTTGACAGCTTCCAATTTGCAGCATCCAAGGAGTACATGATCAGCGAAACGGCCTTCCCACCCTCCTTCTTCACGTCTTGCACCGGGAACACAAGCGTATCATCATGCATCTTAATACCCGATCCACCGCCGCCAATCAGTCGTGTCAAAGCTACTTTTTCTTTTTCAACAGTAGAAACGCACGGGACGCCAGAGGTATCTCCCCAAATAACACTGTCACTGCTCCCACCACCAAACTTTCCTTTCACCAGCAAAAGTCCGCAGTCCTCGGCATCATTATTCGGAGCACCCACAACGGCTGTAGGACTGTATTTCCCAACAAGCATGTAAACATCATTTTCCTTCACAACTGTTGTTGGCCGGCTCACATGTACTTTCGTTTCGCTTTGGGAAACAGCATGGTGCTCTGGTTGGGAGGCGCATTCCTCTTTATCGGATGGACATTCCTCCAGTACTTGTGTCTTCACTTTACTCGCATCCAACTCCTCCTTTGTTTGCTTCTTATCCAACGTCAGGAGCCCCGAGGCAATCCCAGTAAAACTGCCTTCGCCAGCACCATTTTTTCCCGTGCACTGCGCCTCGGCAACGGCAAACACTTTACCATTCACATCAAGAAGACTGGGAGCATAGAGCGAACCCACTTTTTCTTCTTCTTTCTTATTTCTCCAAACAAAATGATTTTCCGGTGAAGATCCTGGGCCTGGCGCCCGTACATCAGCTTGCGCAGCTCCACCAGCGTTGCAGCACATCATCACGAAGAGAAGGAGCAGCACCGCAGAGTAGAAGAGATGCCGCGACATGTTGGGCCTCTGCCGCTCACTCTCTCCTCCTTCCCTCCTCCTTCCGCTGGATCCGGCCACGCGGCGACGGTTTTGTGTGCGGGGTGCCTTGACAGCAGCAACAAGTGAGAGCATACAAATGTGTGTGGGTGGTGTGTGTGTTGTTGGTCCTTTCAGCGCCTTACAATTTCACAGTAGCGATTAGCGTTTAGCCTTACTTCGTAAGAGAGTGAAAGAAATAAAAACAGGATAATAAAATATGGGTGAAAGAATAAGCACCGCCATCCACAGTGAGTGGCACCATCATCCCCACCACAGTCACTCCAAACAACAACAACTCACGCGCACAGACACACGGAAAGAGAAGGAAAAACAGTGCACCGGGAACACACAACAACTGCCGCCAGCAGTAAAAGCCACGGCGGGTGCTTCTGCCACGCGTCAGCACACACCGAGCAACGCCCACATGTACTGCCGCCAGTCGCTTTACTGTTGTCTCTCACCGCACCATCCATCGCACATCGCCACGCACAGCCGGAGAATCCTCCGTCGGCAAATCCACGGCTGGAGAAACACGTCGGCAAGTGCAGCTGCCAGGCAAGAATCCATACGCACTTATCCCAGACACCCTTAATGCCACACCACATCAGTCAACTGCTGCACGTCGCCAACACCACAACCGCAGCAAGTCCAAGGGACGCACGGCGAGCTCACGCCCTCCCTCCCCGCAAGAGCCACCACAATAAATTGTGTGAAAAATGGCATGTGTATGTTTGTCAGCGCCTATGCTTGCGAAGCAGATGTGCGGCACGAAATAGTCTGAAGAACGCAACGGCAGAGAGAGGCAGATAGCACACACGCAAATTACTCATATCATCGTCCCACACACACACACGCAGCCGCGGAATGGGGACTCTCAACCACAAAACAAAAAGAAAAACAAAACAAAAAGCCGAAGCGTGGGACGACCAGCGCACACACACTCTCATTGCTCCCGTAAAGCAAAACACACACACAGAGGGAGAGAGAGAGAGGTCGCCCACTCAAGGCAATAAAAACAAAACAGAAACAGTTACGGTGCTCCGCCCATGCAGCCAGGCAGGACGGCAGCGGTGCGTGTCGTGCAAAAGAGAGCACCAACGGGCCTGCATGGGTGTGCATGCATATATACAATGGGCACATTATGTGTGTGCCTCGTGGGGTGAGGTGAGGGCGAGAGTCCATGCAAGGGGACACACACACAGAGAGAGAAGGAAGAGTGTGTGTGCGGGCGGTGCACGGCTCTCTCTCCCTCACTCTCACGCGGCCACCACCGCAGCAGCAGCCGCACACGCAACAACAAGAAGATGAAGCAAAAGAGAGGAGGTGGTGTGGGAGACCGCGGTGCTGCTGTCACTGTCGCCAGTCGTCGCCGTTGTAGTTTTCATGGCTGTGGCCGTCACTGGTGTTTCTCTGGATTGGCTTCTTTATTTTAATTTTGTTTTTCCTCTGCTGCCCCTGCATCATCAGCTGCTGGGTCATTGTTCCGGATGCGCTCGTCAGTGCTATTGTCAGTTTCATTATTGGCGGCATCACCGTTTGCCGTGGGTGATGGTGGCCTTGATTCTGCATTTTCGTCTTGGACGTATTGTAGCAGTTGTATGGGCCGTAAATTCACAGTGCTGGACTGTCCATTCATTGTTGCTGGTGGTGGCGGTGGTGTTGCCGTTTGTATTTCCGTGTCGTTGGCTGGACTTCCACGTGTCTCTGTTGGTGTCTCATGACTTGCGTTTTTTTTGTCTCCTGTTTTTTCTGGTTCTTCTTTCAGCACCAATTCAGTACAGTCATATTTACTGAAGAGATTGTTTTCTTCCGTCGGTGCCTCTTTGTAGGATTCATTTCTCTCGGAAGTATTCTCCAATTTGTGTATTTTAATACCCTCAGTGCCAGGGCTGCCAGAAGAAGAAGAGGATTCAACAGCTTTTAGTTCTTCTGGATCACGTACACTTTGATTGTGTGTATGGCTAGTACGTTTTCCATCATTTGCATCTACCGGTCTCGACATCCCCTCCTGTTCCCCTGCACCTGATCGTCCGAGATTCAGCGGTTTTTTTGTTGGTGGTTGACCTGCGACACCGTCATTTCCTTCTAAACCAGCCACCCCACTGCCCTTCGTATTATTTCCCAATTTGTTATCCTTCAAATTCTCCAGTGGGGCTGTAACATTCATTTCTTGCTCACCTTCCGCAGCATCAACCGCCTTTATTAATGCCATTCGAGTGGATAACAACCCGCAGTCCGCCTTTACAGACACGCCGTCATCTCCACCATTACTCGTGTGCCTCAAACCGTTCCCTCCACCCTCACTGCAGTAATCCTCCATCGCGCGTCCAAACACCGCACCGCACCACAGCACGCAGAGGGCACACACCAGCAGCACACGGCCAGCCATCATCGCCATCACTCCTGTCACTTGCGTGCAGCCTTCAGCACAAACTAACAACACGTCAGCGCAAAGCAAGAATAAATAGAAGGACGCACACAAGAAAAAGAACAGTAAAAAACACCAGCAGCAGTACACATTTCGTAAGAAATATTCAACCAATAAAGTGCAAAAAGCGCACAACGCCATGCAAAAATATAATTAAAAAAAGCACAACAAGGAAAATCAAAACAAAAGTAAACAAGCAGCAAGAAACTAAAAAATGTAAAAACACAAAAACAGAACCCTGCACTTAAATGGCTCCAGTGTGCATGCATCCATCACCAACAGTGGGTCCACGCAAGCAGTTGTATGCGTGGCGTGCATACAAGTTTGTCTGTGATGCGTTTAATGAGACGGATGTGGGAAGTAAAGAGAAGCACACAGCAGGCAAAAACAAAGCAAAACAGAATCATCATAATTACTCTCACTTTATACTTCGGACCACAGTAGAAGCGCACAAATTCCCGTGGTTGAGTGCTGGCACGCACAGCCCGCACACACCTCTTCAGCCCAGAGTGGTGTACGCCAGCGCGGATGCGGCGAGCAGCAGCGGGGCACACACCCACGCAGAGCTGCTGAGGCTGCCGTCGACTTCCCGAAGACGTGACGGTGCGCGGGTGGTCGTCGTGGTTGGCGCCTCTGTGGTCGTAGTTGGCGCCTCTGTAGTCGTAGTTGGCGCCTCTGTAGTCGTAGTAATTGGTGCCTTTGTTGTAGTGGTTGTTATCGTTGTTGGTGCATGTGTTGTAGTCGTCGTCGTGGTCGTCTCGGCAGGATCTTCGGCTTCCTGATTTGCTTCTTCTGCGGGTGTACTCCTGCTATTTTGTGACCCTGTCGTATTGTAACCATCTTTTATCTGTACCGCACTCTTCGCGTCTTTTGATTGCGGTAAAACACCGGTCGAACTTGGTCCCGCTCCGGCATTTCTTCCCTGGTCCGCACCGGACCCATTACCTAACAACCCTGACTGACCTTTTCCCTGTGTTAGTGTCACCGATGAAGGGGACTGTGGACTGGTGGCGACAGGAGCTTTAACTTCAGTATGCTCAGTAGACTCTTCCGCACACACGGACGGGCAGCAGCACAGGGCAAGCACCAACAGGGCGCACAGCAGACGGCACGTCGTCATAATTGTGAGTGTGGTCGCTCAGTGGTGTGGAGCTGATCTGCACAGTGAGGAAAATGGAGAGCAACAGGGGAGACGAGAGGTGCGGCAGACACACACAGAGGGCACACCACATGAGGAGAGGGCAGCAGCCAGGCATGCACCGTACGCCACACACCACGCACGACACACACTCCAATCCACGGCAGCAGGCACACACACACAGCCCTGCCGCAACACCAACACACAGATGGAAGAGGGAGAAGCAAACAGGAGCGGCACACAAGGCTCCACCGCATGCACATACGGCGAGAGCGGTCCGTCGTGTCGGCACCCCTCACGGAGAGTACGCACACACACAAGAGGAGGTGCAGCGCACACAGCAACACAAAAGCAAAGTAACAATTAAAAAGAAGATCCCCGTCAACCACGTGAATTGTTGGTCCACGGGAATCGCAGCCAATATTCATCACAAAAACAATTCTGTTGCCTTCGGCCTTCGTTCATATTCAGCACACACCACTTCATGCAGGCCCGGGAACCACCACCGCAGCAGCACACGCAAAAATAAGCGCAAGGAATGGAAGAGTGCAGGAAACCATTTATTCGTATTTCTTTTTGAATGTTGGCAGATGTCCGTATATGTTGTTTTTGCGGAGGGTAACCATTCATGCCTGGGTCGTGTGTCGGGAATTCCTGCAGGGTGCACAATTATGTTTTTCCCACCTGTGAATGTTTCTTGTGTTGGTGCAGCCAATAATTCGGTTTGTGTTGTTCCTGCCTTTCGCTGGTAAAGTGCTGCAATAAAGAATAACCTTCTGGGCCGCTGGCCGAATCCTGAGTTTCTCGATAATAGAAACCAAACACGTTAGAAATAAGTGAGGGACCAACGGAATAAGAGTGGATTCACCACACCCTCAAAGGCTTAACACCGGGTGACTGTATGTTTATATACCATCCGTCAGCCACAATCGTGGCCCGCTCACTCTATTCGGATGGGATACATGTATTTATGTATTACTTACGACGTGGCAGACTTTTGGGGTCCTGCAGCCACAAGACCCCGCCGCGTGGTGGAACCAAAAGGGGGCGGGTGCGATGGTAAAAATAAAAATAAAAATTATCCGGCCGCTGTCGGCTCCCTAAAGTCGTGGCCTCCCAAAACTCATACGGCAGAAAAGTGTCGTAAAGAAGTGTATATTCGTTTTGTCAGGGTATATTTATATATACATTCATTAAGGCAGCCGGCTCTCCCGCGATCATTCTCTGCACAAGCTCCTAAAGGGCTCAAACACACCCACAAGACGCCCAGCAAGAAAAAAGGGAAACACGGCATGACTGACACGACTCAAAGTCATGCTTCTAAAACAATGCGTGGATGACTCCGTCGACGCCACACCCGCACCATATGCCATCAGCGCCTCCACGGCAATAATCCCGCAGCGTGCGGAGAGGACTTTTCACGAGTGCATTATTGGCGGAGCCAAACAACTGTACCGTCAGCAGAGGTCAGCAAGCGGCGGGGAAAGTGAAGGTGGTGGGACTGTTGGAGAGGGTCGATGCGCAGTGTCCCCCACAAATAAGAGGCGGGTGAAGTGAAACACACTCGTCTGAACGTCACCGGCCACCAGGATGCATTGCTCCCCGCTGTTAATATTGATGAGCTCGAGGCTGGAGCAGCTACTCGCAATGCGTGAAAGCGTCTTCCTGCACTGACGCTGCGATTCACATTAGACGGGCAACTTCAGCACAGTCGATCCCCAGCAGTAAAATGCGGCTGACAGTGGCGCTGTGGATTCTCGATTCCCCCGGCAACGAAGGGCGGAGAAGACAACTGGTCTCCCCAGCTGCGCGGCATCCGTCCATTCACTCTGTGCGCTCGGAGTGCCCCGCAGCTGCCTTGAGAGATGCAGCGGACAGACCTCCCTTATTTTCGCCTCGACCCGTCGACGAAGACCTTCGCGGTGCTGTCGGCACACACCGAAGTCTCCCTCGTGCCAGTCAAGCAAAAGACACACCCGTTGAGCATCGTCACGTGCGTCGACGGCCACGCAAATAAATACCCACCGCAACGCAAAGTGTTTCTTATTGGGCACAAAAGAAAACTGGAGGCAGCGGCCTGGACAACGCACAACAAATCACACGCCCGGCAACGCTGAGATACATGCGAAAGGGCCAACGCGGGATCAGCAGCACAAACACTCGAGAGCTGCTGCGTGAACTCCACGGCAAATGGATCAGCCTCAACGCATGGGGCACTAATGACGGCGGGTGACAGCGCGAAAGCCAACGGTTCCGCAAGGCCGGGAATTGTGGGGACGGCAGCCAAACCCTCCTGGGATTCGAGCACCAAGACACGCAAATAATCCGCCTCTCGGTGCAAACCGTCACCATAATACTCATCGCTCTCTTTGCCGTCATTCGTATTGTCACACTCAGAGCCGGTGAGGGAAGGTGCTGCATTGATGATTGTGGCATCACACTGAATGAAACAAAACAATGCCTCGAGGTGTGCCGAGTGCAGGCATCCCGTCAGGCGGCGACACGCCGCACTTCTTAGCAATGTACGAAGCAAAGGCAACGAAACAGCTTTCATCCGCCATCGTAGTCGCGTCCAGCAGGTTCGCCCTCTTGTTCCTCGGCATCTCGTCCCTCTCCGCAGCACCAACAGCCGCTGCCGAAGCCCACGCCCCTCGTTACCAAAAACATTCTTGCAGAGCACTGTGCAACTACTTATGCGTGTGGGTGTCTGTTGGAGAAGCCAAAAAGAAGAGCACAGGAAGGCACATCAGGAAGGCACATCAGGACGGCAAGAGGCACAGCTGGATGGCAGCGACAAATGCGGTACGGACACAACCTCAACAATCACGCACGGTGGCAGCAAGCACGCAAAACAAAAACAAAACAAAACGAAAGAAAAACACGGCGGCAGGGTGTGGCTGTGTGTGTGGCGCTGCGGGTGTCTGCCCGCCCTGGCCGCAAGAAAACAAAACAAGAGGGAAGAAATGTGTGCTCCGCCCACAGGCCCTCGTCGCACGCCCACACGTCACGGCTCCCGCAGCGCGCCGTTCGTCGCGGCCCCTCCTCATGCGTGCAGCAGGCGAGGCGCACAGGGCCGTCGTCATGAGCGTGTCGGTGGTGTGCGAGTGGAGCAGTTGGGCGGGAAACACATGGCACCCCTCGCAGGAAGAGTGCAGCAACAAACAATTAAAGAGGGAAGAGTAGAAAAGAAAACACGTCCACAGTGATTGCCCCAAAAGCAAAAAAAAAATGGAGGAGTGAAGAAAATGAGATAAAAAACAATAAAAAGTAAACAACGCACAAAAAAAAAGAAATTAAACAAAAACACTCGCAAAACCAGAGAAAAAAAAAGTTCAAAATATTTTAAAGCAAACAGCAAAGAAAAATTTAAAAAAATTAAAACAATCATAAGAGGAGAAAAAAAACAGAAACAGTTACGGTGCTTCGCCCATGCAGCCAGGCAGGACGGCAGCGGTGCGTGTCGTGCAAAAGAGAGCACCAACGGCCTGCATGGGTGTGCATGCATATATACAATGGGCACATTATGTGTGTGCCTCGTGGGGTGAGGTGAGGGCGAGAGTCCATGCAAGGGGACACACACACAGAGAGAGAAGGATGAGTGTGTGTGCGGGCGGTGCACGGCTCTCTCTCCCTCACTCTCACGCGGCCACCACCGCCGCCGCACACGCAACAACAACAAGAAGCAAAAGAGGGGAGGTGGTGTGGGATGCATCCGTGTTTTGACTGTAGTTCTTCTCATTTGCTGAATTTGTCTTTGGTAGTTGAGTTTTTATCCCATGCGTTGTTGTGTTGGATACTTTCGAGAGTGCTCCTCCACTGCGTTGGGATTCTGTAATTTGGTCCCCTGATGATTTTTTTGTCTCGTTCGTTTGTGAATGGTCATTTTTCTGTTGTTCTTCCAAAGAGTCTTGGAGTTCATCTCCCGCGGCGTCGTGGCCAAGACTGTGACCCCCTGCTGAGGCAGAATTGTTTCTTTGCTTTTCAGTGTTGGATGACACGGTTGGCTGTCCTTCGGGCGAAGAGGTGCCCTGACTCCCCGTTTCTTTTTGTGGCAAAACTTCCTCTGGGGATGCAATCTGCTCATCGGATGAAACACTGACCGGGGCTGTTTTTCCATTGCCACCTTGACTTGAGGAAATAACGACAGAGCGAGAGTCCGGAGGTTCACTTCCACCACCAACCGAATGCCCAGCACCGGGAACAGCAGGAACAAGACCGGAAAGAGCAGGACCATGATCGGGACCAACAGGAACATGAACAGCAGCACCACGAACAGAACCAGGGCCAGGAATAGCACCATGAATGGCAGCACCGGGATCAGCAGCACCATGAATAGCAGCACCAAGACCGGAAAAAGCAGCAGCACCGGGACCATGACTGGAAACAGGAGCACCAGGAATAGCAGCAGGGCCATTACCGGGAACGGGAGCACCAGGAATAGCACCAGGAACATGACCGGAAACAGGAGCACCAGGAATAGCAGCAGGGCCATTACCGGGAACGGGAGCACCAGGAATAGCACCAGGAACATGACCGGAAACAGGAGCACCAGGAATAGCAGCAGGGCCATTACCGGGAACGGGAGCACCAAAAATATTAGCATCAGGAACAGAAAAAGTAGGACCACGAACAGGAGCAGGACCAGGAATAGCACCAGGACCAGCAGCACCAAGACCGGAAAAAGCAGCAGCACCATGACCGGGACCAGCACCGTGACCATGAACAGCAGCAACTGGAATAGCATCAGCACCAGAAACAGGGCCATGAACAGGACCAGCAGAACCAAGACCGGAAAACGCAGGAACACGAGCGGAAAAATCAGCAACAGGAATAGCAGCACCAGGAACATGACCGGGAACAGTGGGACGGGCAATAGCAGTATCAGGACCGGAAAAAGCAGGACTAAGACCCGTGCCTCCACTTAAAGGTGAATCAGTAACCCCTGCAGAAGGAACTTCTTCATGAGCTTCGGCTTGCATAGCCGAGATAAACGATGCTGACAGCAAAAGCGGTGTGGATAAGTTTTTAATAGATCCGTTTGACAAAAACGACTTATTCCTTCCAAACCCTCTCGACGCCATGTAGCCGCCCAGTGAATTGTTGTCGGGGTTCCTCGCATGAATCCCGCCGGCACCGCACCACAGCACGCAGAGGGCACACACCAGCAGCACACGGCCAGTCATCATCATCGCCATCACTCCTGTCACTTGCGTGCAGCCTTCAGCACAAACTAACTCCCCGTCAACGCAGAGTGAAAGCAAAAAGAAGAGAAAAATCACAAAGTAACACGCACAGCCAACAACGGCAGCAGCCCTGCAGAAGAACGCACACTGACCTGCACACCAGAAGTAAAAAAGCAATACCAAAACAAAAAGAGTAGTTGAGTGCCCAACAGGAGTCTCCTCCTCAAAAAAAAAAATACACTTCAGCAGAATCATCATTTCATACGCCATGCAGCAAGGCAGGACTGTGTTTATATGTACATGCGTACAGTGCCTGCACAAGGAAAAAAATGTTACTGTTCCACAAGCCCACACAACATCCCACACATTTCATGCGGCATCCGGCCTGTCTCTCCACTCCTCCTTTTGTGTCCTCCGTGGAGCGCACAGCCGTGGGGCCTGTACCGCGTGTAGGCAACAGAAGCAATCAAGAGGGAAAACAATTCGCTCATGACGGTGCGCAGCAAATGACCATTAAGTAAAACAAAAGAAAAAGGTACTCCCATTGTTCCATTAAACAACATTAAAAAGAACACAAAAAAAAGAAAGCCAGCAGGGAACGCGGCACATATTCTCCGTGAGAAGTCGCAACTCCACACTCCGTGGCTCAGAACACTGCCACAACCACGCACAGTCCCAAAAGCAGAAGCAGCAGTGGTGTTTCCACACACGAGGTGATACGCTCGCCACTGCTCACCGTCGGCAACGACATGTCACCTTCGAACAAGATTACTCTGCTCGCTTAGATCTTCTTGTTTAAAGAAGATGTGATCTGTGTGGCGCTGCTGCACGCACCGCTGTTTGTGCGCTCCTTAGTGGCGGGGGCGTGTGCTCGAGGACCATGGATGCAGTCCCATCGCCCGTACACATCGGTGGTATTGGACGTCACGATGTCATTATATTTTTTTTCTACTCTTATCAGCGCGTCTAGCTATACAATGCCATCTGAGTGCCGAAGAGGTGGTCGAGCAACGACAAAAGTTTCCTGCTATGAAGCAACTGCCATTGAGAGAACTTTCCGAGGCGAAGGTCCTGTTCAATGCCCAGCCGTTGACGCACAGCCAAGGTGCCTGGACATTCTAGAAGCAGATGGTGCAAGGTTTCCTGCGGGCCGATTGGCGTGCTTGTGGAAGCTGGCTGATCCTGCGGCAGCAGAGATCGCCTCCTGGCACTGCTGTTCCGATGCCGTGTGGCGTCTGGGTTGTGTGCGCGGCGAATTCTGTGCTGTGCGGTGCTTCTCCGTGTGGGGAAAACCATGTCACAGAAATCACATTTGAGCTCGGGAAGCGGTGGAGGATGTTCCGGATGAAATGACCGACAGTGACTGACGAGACCCGAGAATCCCGTCAATGTAGAATCACAGTGCGGACATTTCTCCTTCCGACGGCGTGTGACGGTCCGTCCCCTTACTGGAGAGACGTCATCCTCCCTCGCCGTCGGGGGAACAGTGTCCGTCCCCGGTGCATTTGGATCGTTGTTAGAGCGCATATATGCAGACTGTTCCGGTGAGATGTTGCAGAATCGGCATTGGTTCGTGCAATCTCTCACGGCCCAGTATAGTCGGCCCTAGAGCTCAGATTCCCCGCACCTTGCCCTTGCGAGGTGAACCAGTTCCTGACGGTGGAGAACTTCCTGAGTGATCAGGTCCTTACCGCTGAGATCTGATGGCCTTGTGCCGCAAAGCAAGTAGCGATGAGTGTCTTGACGAAGGGTACTACGCCACTTGTTGGTGAGCTGGGTAGTAAAACATGTCGGCAGATCCGTATGCCATAGATGTGCGATTCCATGCTCCGTGTATTGTCCACTTTCCATAGTCTGCGTCGCATACTGATCTGCAGGCTCGTTAGCATGTACTCCGCAATGTCCGTAACAAAACTGCAGGTGCACGGACCAGCCAGCACGCGTCAGTGTCAAGAGACGCTGCCAGATCTGATTTTCCGTCCAGTCGGTCTGACTGAGCGGGCCCTTACTTAGAGCCGCTAGAAGAGACTGACTGTCCGTAACCACAAGCAGGGTTTTACGCCTGTGTCGGATACGAGGAATCATCAGCTTCTCTAGGGCTAGAAGCAGCGCACGGGATTCCGTCCTGTAGCTGCATGGGCGTGTACCGCAGTTTATGCTGGCCTTTTCTATTATCTCCGATGAATTGAGGGATGAGAGCAGTATTCCAACCCCGGCTGACTTGGGAACGTCGACACCGCCACCGGTCGCAAG